CACACGTCTTGTTCCAATGAGGCGTCCGACAAGAGTGATGTTGTGTTCTCTAATCTAGTGTTTGGCGGGAAAATCCATTCAGCAATTCGGTATCTATCTCCAGAGTCAGCCGATGGTGTCTTGCATTTAGATGACCCGGTGGACGAATCTTCCACAAGAACAGTTAGAGATGTGTTGGTATCAAAGCACCCCACACCCGTTGACCCTCCGGAATCCATCTTACTGGAGGGCGATGCAGCAATAGTCAACCCTATATTATTCCAGAGGATAACGCCGGAGTTAATTCGCAAGATGTCTCGACAGATGAAGGGTTCTTCTGGCCCATCCGGTGTTGATGCTGATGGGTGGTGTAGAATGCTCACCAGTTACAAAGCTGCATCTGATCACCTCTGTCGAGCATTGGCGCTCGCAGCGCAGTGCTTGTGTACAGAGGCAATACCGGCTTCCGATGTGAGTGCATTTACCGCATCTAGGCTCATCCCGTTGGCCAAGAAGCCGTCTGGTGTTCGCCCTATTGCGGTCGGCGAAGTGTTCCGTCGTCTGATCGGTCGGGCAGTAATGTCTGTGATCAAGCCCGACGTTCTACGTGCTGTCGCCCCCTTGCAGCTCTGTGTGGGTGTGCCGTCTGCCTGCGAAGCTGCTGTACACGCTATGCGCAAGATTTTCAACCGTGATGATACAGAGGCGATTCTCTTCGTGGATGCAACAAATGCATTTAACTCCCTGAACCGCACTGCAGCACTTCACAATATTCCAAGGATCTGTCCAGCTCTGGGAAAAATATTTCAGAATACTTACTCGGATAAGACTAGACTGTTTGTGGCTGGTGGCGGCGAGGTTCTCTCCCAAGAAGGAACTTGTCAGGGCGATCCCCTGGCCATGGCCTATTATGCTGTAGCAACTGTACCGCTAGTGCAGAGGTTGCAGGAGGCAAACCCCGATGTCGACCAGGAGTGGTATGCCGACGACGACGCAGCGGGCGGTGATATTAGCTCCCTCGCCAGCTACTGGAAAGATGTGAACATTATCGGACCCGAGTATGGATACAATCCCAATCCCACCAAGACAACTCTCCTGGTGAAGCCTCAGTACCTGGACCGGGCTGAGGAAGTGTTCCAGGGGACGGGAGTCTGCGTCACGGCGGCGGGTCATCAATATCTTGGTGGGATCATTGGCGATGAAGATTATTGCCATCGTGTCGGAGACAGGTACGTCAGCAACTGGCGACGGGAGCTGATGAATCTCACTGCAATGGCCGAAATGCAACCCCAGGCCGCCTACACTGTGCTAACAAAGGGCTTATCGTCCAAATGGTCCTATCATTTGAGAGCCTCATCGATAAACTCTGTCACCCTGGCCCCTCTAGATGAGGCATTGGATGATCATTTTCTTCCTGCCCTTTTGGGCCAGGGAATGGCAGCTGACAGCTCGCTGAGAAAGCTTCTGTCCCTCCCGACAAGATTCGGGGGCCTGGCTATCCCGATGGTAGCAAAGTCTGCAGAGGCAGACCATCAAGCATCACTTGCCATCACGGCGTCAATGGTGAACCTGATCGACGCCCACCGTAACGTGAGCGTCCGAGACTCTCCAGCCATCAGTCCGGACCAAAACACGCAGAGCATCGTGGCCATCGCAGAGGGCATGGCCAATCCTGTTCAAGAAGCCGTTGGCGAGGCACGAGGCATCGCCCGACAAAAGCGCCATGAAAAAATCGGTGGATGCCGGCAGATGCAGACGGAGCTGGCTGAGGGGCTTTCACCTGTCCAGCGGCAGCTGCTCGCAGTAGCGGATGAGAAAGGCGTCTCAACATGGTTAACAGCACAGCCGTCTTGGACAAACCGCACCGTGCTGAAAAAGTCGGATTTTAGAGATGCGCTATGCATACGATATGGTCTCCCACTGGACGGTGTAAGTGATCATTGTGTCTGTGGGAAGTCCATGACCACCCACCACGCCCTCACGTGCCCGACCGGCGGCTATCCGTCGGCTCGCCATAACGAGCTTCGGGACCTCCTGGCGGGAGTGCTGCAGGAGGTACTGCCCGATGTGGAGGTTGAGCCACATCTGCTCCCGCTACACGGTGAGGACATCTCTGCCGTCTCCGCGAATCGTCAGCCAGAGGCACGCCTGGACATACGGGCTAGGGGTTTCTGGTCGCGGCAGCAGGACGCCTATTTTGATGTAAGGGTCACTGACCTTGGGCCGTCCTTGCTGTCTCGTCCGGAAATCCTTAGCCACCTGAGAACACATGAGAGAATGAAGAAGGCGGCGTATGGTGCCAGAGTCAACCAGGTGGAGAGGGCATCATTCACCCCACTGGTGTTTTCGACCTCGGGTGTGGCGGGCAAGGAAACTTCTATATTCCTGAAGTCGCTAGCTGCTCTCGTTGTAGACAAAAACAAAGACTTGGTATATTCTGCTGTGATGGGTGAGTTACGCACCCGAGTTTCATTTTGCCTGCTGCGATGGGCAGTCACGTGCTTCAGGGGCTGCAGGGCCTCTTACATTCGCCGCAGGGTCGGGAGCCCCTTTGCAGCTTATTGCCGCCGGCTCTGCTGACACGGCCAGAGCTCTGACCGTTCGCCTTTGCATGCCCGTAGGCATTGTTATTAGGTGATGATTTCGTGTGAAGCTTTTGAGTTCAAAGTTTTATATTTCAATTGAGTGTTCTATTTTATTCCGAAATTGGGTTGTCTTTTTGCTTTGACTCTTACTTCATGGTGTTGTGAATAAAACCGTTCTCAAGTAGTAGTAGTAGTAGTAGTAGTAGTAGTAGTAGTAGTAGTAGTAGTAGTAGTAGTAGTAGTAGTAGTAGTAGTAGTAGTAGTAGTAGTAGTAGTAGTAGTAGTAGTAGTAGTAGTAGTAGTAGTAGTAGTAGTAGTAGTAGTAGTAGTAGTAGTAGTAGTAGTAGTAGTAGTAGTAGTAGTAGTAGTAGTAGTAGTAGTAGTAGTAGTAGTAGTAGTAGTAGTAGTAGTAGTAGTAGTAGTAGTAGTAGTAGTAGTAGTAGTAGTAGTAGTAGTAGTAGTAGTAGTAGTAGTAGTAGTAGTAGTAGTAGTAGTAGTAGTAGTAGTAGTAGTAGTAGTAGTAGTAGTAGTAGTAGTAGTAGTAGTAGTAGTAGTAGTAGTAGTAGTAGTAGTAGTAGTAGTAGTAGTAGTAGTAGTAGTAGTAGTAGTAGTAGTAGTAGTAGTAGTAGTAGTAGTAGTAGTAGTAGTAGTAGTAGTAGTAGTAGTAGTAGTAGTAGTAGTAGTAGTAGTAGTAGTAGTAGTAGTAGTAGTAGTAGTAGTAGTAGTAGTAGTAGTAGTAGTAGTAGTAGTAGTAGTAGTAGTAGTAGTAGTAGTAGTAGTAGTAGTAGTAGTAGTAGTAGTAGTAGTAGTAGTAGTAGTAGTAGTAGTAGTAGTAGTAGTAGTAGTAGTAGTAGTAGTAGTAGTAGTAGTAGTAGTAGTAGTAGTAGTAGTAGTAGTAGTAGTAGTAGTAGTAGTAGTAGTAGTAGTAGTAGTAGTAGTAGTAGTAGTAGTATTCTTTTATTTTCCATCGGAAGCCTCAACAGTGATGAACACAACTCTTAAGAGGGCCGATAACAGAGTAGAGGGGTGTGGGGTGAGAAAAATAATAATAATAATAAGAGATATTTAAACTAAACTAAACTGATACTTGTACACATACATGTACACATACATGTACATGACATTGTAATGATGTGCTACTGGACATGTATAACATGGAGTTCCTGCAATTGTGTTGCATTGTAGATCTTTTTTTAGTTTTTTATTGAAAACCACAAACCTTCAGACATGTGAATGTGCACATGATATACAGTGTACATAAGCATGTATCGAGAAAGCAGCACAGAAACGGCAGTGGTCACGGGTGAGGCCTGGGCAGCTCGTCCGACCGTGGGTCTCGGAGTCAACACTGGGCAGACGCACCGGTGAGGGGGGGGGGGGGGTGGTAGCTTAGGAGATAAGGGCAGGCGCGTGCTCGGCGATGGGCACGGGGGGCACGTGCACCCCCCAAAATTTTTCAATCTGGGTAATTGCAATTGTAATGTATGCAAATATGCTCTAAAATTCAAGAATGGTTGCAAACAAATTGCAGAAAATTGCCGGGGGGGGGGGGGGCTCCCCTCGGCTCCCGTGCACCCCCCTAGTTGGGGGGCCGAGCACGCCCCTGAAGGGATTGAGCCAGCGCAATCATAGTATGTAATGCATATGCAGAAGTAATCTACTTTATACTTGGCGATTATTTTCCATTCACACCATAATTATGGTACTGTTAGGTACCTCCTCCCGTACCTTTTCTAGCTCGCCTGCATGCACTTACGTACTCACCTTTTGTCTCCTTTTGTTCCGTTGGCCTGGGTAGCTACTTGCGCGCCCATATTTGCCATAGCTACCCAGGCCCTTTATCTTGCCGTTCAGACTTGATCTCTCTCTCTCTCTCTCTCTTTTCTCACTCGTCAATAATCACCATGTAGTCGTTTCGTTCGTCTTGGTCTCTTGTCTCGTCGTCTATAATAAATGTCGTTCCCAACCTACCTGTTCCCGTTGTAATGTCTGGATATGTCGTCAGTCGTGCTGTTTCGAACTCAACAGTACAAAAACCCAAAGACGTTAAAAAGTCTGATTACAATTTAAATCAATGGATGTTGCTGTAGAGATAAATGTACAATCATGTACTTGTTCTTCGCTGATTCCATGTCGTCAGTTCTGCCGGTAGACCATGGTAGACGTGTGAGACTAGTCATGTCCTGAGCACTATTTCTACGATTCGCTGCATGCGTGACATTGTGATGTTTTGCCTCGCGGATCATCTACCAATGGAATGTGGAAACGACGTGCAGCGAACGTTCGCCGCCGGTCGAATGCATGGACCAGGAGTTTACACTCGTCAAAAAGAAGTTTCCACCGCCAATCTAGCTACGATTGCGGCTATTCAACCGGCCTTGTTTATCAGTATCAAGATGTAATTACAATCAGTGCTAGCTGTAGTGCCGCTCTTACCATTGTTTAGACAGTGTGACGGATGGTACTTCGGTCGTAGAGCTCTCTCCTCTTCTCGTGACCTATCCTTGTTCACCACCCTACGTCACTGGCCGGGAGCGCTGCGGCCCACGCAGGAAGGAGCCCAATGCCGCGACAATGTTGTCCTTCCGTAGCGTATAGCGTATTGGCTGTACGTCCTTGCGCAAACCCCCCTCCCCGACCGTCGACAATCCACTTGGTAATCTGCTGCTTCAAGTCAGTTGGAGGTTGAAGATGTGACCGACTCTGTTGGGCTGAGTGAGCTGATTCCTACAGCTTCAGTCTAAGGGGTCCGCCAGCTCTGGTGCCCTGCAGAATGAAGCAGGTGGTTCAGTTCGCAATCTTGCACTGCCACAAACGCCCAAGGAAAACATTCGAGTAGGGAGCCGCAAATGCTATGCAACATAGTTCAGTTTTCCTGGCTTCTTTTCACCATGACTTGTGTGGATCTAGTCTGTCCATTCGTCGTCCGTGCCCTGTGCTTTGCCGCGCCGCGATTTGAACGCAAAGTATAATGCAGACCCTTGTATAGCTAGACCCAGTACGTGCGCGGGGGGTCTCCTTCTCTTTCAAGTCTTCGTCTTTACTCCATTTCGCATCGTGTGTGTCATCGTCTGACACCTTTGCGTTTTTGAAATCGGCGCAGTCTGCTGACATATGCGGTGCTCCTGCATGCACAGGCTGCAGCCCGACGAGTGGCGTCCCGAACTGCAGTAGCCTGGGACTTCTTGGCTTCGGCTAGGGACAAGCAACTGGGACACCATGGACATAGAAAATTGTAGTCACAGTTGCGAGGTTTTGCATTCCGAAATTCGGCAAAAAGATTCGGCACGCGGGAGCGAGGTCGAAAATGGACACGAAGATTCGGCGTGTTTGTTCGGAAAAAGCTCACCTTGCCGAAAATATTTTTCGGATGCATTTTCTTGTAGAAGAGCGCTAGCGCGTGATTTATTCAAAGAGGTTTCTTATCTCGGCATCGCTTGGCAGGCGTCTTTGGCGACATAGCATCGTCAGCTACCTCTGATTGCTCCTCTCCACTGCCTGTCTACTCTCTTTCGCCTGGAGTGTCCTCACCGTCATCTGTGTAGCTGAAAAGACTATGCCGACACGCATAAAATTTGACTTGGCCATGGAATTGGTTTTTCTGAGGCGACTGAGGAGGCAGGTTTGGCCCTCGACTCTTTGGGCGATCAAAGTTCGTTGGAATCAGCAAGAAAAGGAGCACGGAACAGGACGTTGCTGATGCTGGGACTCACGAAATGAAAACACATCATTTTCGACTTGCAAAACAAACGTTGGTGCGAAAATTCGACATTTTGATGTTCGACAAATGACCGAAGAACGCTGTACCGAAATTCGGAATGCAAAACCTCACTCTTGTCTGACACAGTGACACTGACAGTGCCACTACTGTACCATGACTACTAGGCACTAGTGCAGGTTGTGGTAGGTAAACTGGTTCACATACATAATCATTGTAGCTCTACATGCTGTCAAGCAGGTCCGACTTTCAACCGTCTCCCCTACAATGATCATGTAGAGGGGGTCTACAGTCATGTAGATCTACACTGTAGACTACAGTCATGTAGATAAAAATTAATCATCATGTAGAAGATCTACATGTAGATCTACATGATGATTTTATCTACATGACTGTACATTATAATTATAACCTAATACTATCGACGAGGAGACAATAGTCGTAAAATGGCAATAAATAAGATAAATTGTGCACTCATAACAACAGCAAAAATGAAGAAAGTCAAGTTCCGCCGGAACGCAAGGAACGCCGTCACATAGAAATGTAATAACTAAAACACACACTTATACAGTATACATGTAGCTAATAATTATGGTTTCAGGTAGAAATACAGCAGCTAACAAGTACAAAAAGCGAAGTTTGCACCTTTGCAATGTGTGAATATAGTGTATGTGAGAAAGGTAGGCAAGGAGACGCAGGAGGAAGCACAGGCACGGCACAGAACGAATCAAGGAGAGGGAAGCGGTGTCGCGAGGAGATGGAGACTGATGACGACGAATACGAGTGCGATGGGATGGACGGCGGCATTGGAATGGAGGTGGAGGATGAGAGTAGTGATGAGGAGGAGTTTGATGTTGACAAGAGGAAGTCCGCAGTGTACAAGCATTTGGTGTCCAGTCCAGAATGTCGTAAGGTGTTTGACGGTTCCTGGTTTAGTGTTATTCGTTGCGCACGTTTCTTCAAGCAATTGCAGGCGTTGGAAGCTGTGTACATTCGTACTCGTGACCCTGTGCTATGTAAACAGAAAGAAAACGTTGTATCACTCACACTCTTCAAGTAATACACACGCACCATTACATTCAATCACACAGTATCACATTCATCTGCCACTACCTTTCTCACATACACTATATTCACACATTGCAAAGGTGCAAACTTCGCTTTTTGTACTTGTTAGCAGCTGTATTTCTACCTGAAACCATATTAGCTACATGTACATATAAGTGTGTGTTTTAGTTATTACATTTTTATGTGACGGCGTTCCACTGATGACAGCAAGAGTCCATAACCCCCCAGAGTGTGCAACTCGTGATCCTTCTCAGCACAAATCAGTGCCGCAACGAAATCCAAACTTCATACGTCATGTAGTGAGTAGCTATGACGAAATGGGAAGTTTGGCCCGGACCTACTTCGCCCGTTTGCCCAATTTGGGGTCTTTCTTTACGAATCCACGGCCACGTAACACGCCTGAAACTGAAAGGCTCAAGTACACAAAGAATTATTTTAGAGTTGTCGAACAGTTTTCTCTTTTGAGTGTCTCTCCGATAAGAGAAGAACAATGGCCACTGTTGAACCTAAAGCAAAGCGCTCCCCATTGTCGCCGGAGTGCAGTGTCTCTGTGGACGATATTCGTCAGTTTTTGCTCGATCTGGGCTCCTCATTTTCTTCTCTCGATTGTCGAGTGTTGGAAATTGTACCAAAATGGGACTGAGGAGCAGGTTGAAGCACATCTACTTCGAAATCGATCGGGTCTTCATGCCGTGCCAAGAGCTATTTCCATCAAATCTTGTAAATCTATATCCATGCCTATTCTTGCTATCCCGGAGTCACGAACTCTCCCAATACAAGCTTTTCAGACAACGAGCAGAGAAACTCTCTTCAAATAAAAAAATTCTGTGACTGTGAAATCAAAGCCGTTCTGCTGACACTGCATAGCCCGTGGAGCAAACGTTTTACGTGACACTTCCGTGGCTTGCTTCCACTTGGAACCCCCGCCGGATGTACCAGATATGCACATGGCCCCATCCGCCCATGCTTGCCCGGGGACCGGATGACGCAATGTTTGGATTTCGTTGCGCCAGACCCCAACCTGGAGTTGCACACTCTGGGGGGTTATGGACTCTTGATGACAGTCACAAGAAAACGTTATGGAACTTGACTTTCTTCATTTTTGCTGTTGTTATGAGTGCACAATTTATCTTATTTATTGCCATTTAACCTAATACTAGTTCAAAACTAGCATTAGATAAACCTTGTTATACATGTAGTTCACACATATTGTTAGAATAATGATATTGACGGCATGAAACAAGGTGGAGGACACTGTGTTCGGAAACAGTGACCTTACTACAACCGTCTGCGGCTGGCAGAGCCCCGGTGGTGAAGGCCTACCCATGGCCACGTCGGGACATCAGATCACCGACCTCGTCTACAGAGAGCACTTTCTCGCGACAGTGTCATGGTGGCGGCAGTAACTGTTAACATGTTGACAGCTGACGAGCTGAGAGAGGGACGCCATGGGCAGACGTTGGAAGAAAAGAAGATTAAAGAAAAGCAACTCAGGTTTAAGTAACTACATTGTACATGACTACCAGGACGACATCCAGGAGCGATCAAAGAATATACGACGGACGTAAGGAGAAGTCTAAAACTCCCCTAGCATAATGAGGGTCAGAACCGGGTTCAACACCCATATGATTCAAATGGTCCGAAGGGACCAGGGCTCTGCCAACCGCGGAAGGTTGTAGTAAGGTCACTGTTTCCGAACACAGTGTCCTCCACCTTGTTTCATGCTCTCAATGTAACAACATAATTATGACTGTGCATGTAGCTAGATGATGGAGAGTGAGTGTTTCAGACAGGAGCTTCGTTTTGTAGCTGGAGCAGGCGCTAGGCAAGCATTGTCGCCGTTGCTATGCCTACACTCAGCAGGGAAATCCGGAAGCCGGCCGAAGGGGATGTTTGTTTCAACTATCAACTCTCTGTGGACATGGCAATTGGCAGGTCTACACGACTGTAGTCTACTGTTGACTTGGCTGAGCGTTACATCGGAAGGGTCTTCTCAGATGACTACGAACGTAGTAAATAGCTACCCACGATAAAATCACGGAAAAGCTAAACCTACGAGGGAGGAACCGAGCAAACACCACCTACAAGCTGAATTGGAGAATAAAGGACCTCGCCAAAGCCCACACACAAATAATAATTATGACGAAGCGATCCAGACTCTGCGCGACTGAGAAATACCACGTCCTCATCAACCTAGGCTCCTCATGCTGCCCAAACAAGTGCTCCGCACTTGTCTCAAAGTGCCGACACGAAAACAAATTTCTCCTCAGAGTCAAATACCACGACGTCACCTAAACGTAGTAACTGTAGTACTAGTACCACTAGGCTACTGCCATGGTCTACTCACCCACACCATCCCTGCTACCTCGCACCTACAATGTACATGTACTGTTGTAGTACAATCATGTACATTGTACTTGAGTACACAATCATACTGACATAGCCCTTAGGCTTAGCGGATAATGTTGGTGGATACATTGGCAGAATTTGGCAGAATTTGGCAACATTTGGTATTTTTCTGCCTGTTTGGTACCACTACTAGTACAATGTCATGTATATGTACATGACATTGTACATGTAGATAAGAAATGGACCAAGGTAGTGTCAGCTACAATGTACATGTAGGGAGTAACACACTCCTCCCCTACTAGTACTATCGCCGAAGTCGCACCAACCTCTTCTTTACAATGCACATTGTATTTGTAAATGTTCACGAACATCAGTACAGTCATGTACATGTATAAGGTTTGCCTGAGTCGCCTGATGATTGCAGTGTGCAAGGAACTGGGAGTTGCGACGAACTCTGTAAACCTCCTTCGTGCCTTTTGAGTTTTGTGTGTACAACGTGCTCCACCGTCCACGTTATCGTGTTATCGTGTTGAGCCCTCCACCTCAGTATCGTGTTGAGCCCTCGCGAAAGACCCCACACAAATACCGGCGTACCCACCATTATCAATGTATCATGTTGTCTGATGATTGCACGGGTATGCACGACACACTGAGTAAGTAACCATAAAATTAATTATAGCCTTTCTGTCCACTGTTTGACTGTAAAACCTAAACCTATCCGGTAATTACTTACATTGTACATTGTGCATTGTACATGTACTGTAGATCCGGATGGACATCGCAACTCTTGTTTTGAGTTGTTTATCTTCTCTCTTTTGCTTTCCCAATAGTTGCTGTTACACTCACTAATCCTTATGCACAGATATACAGCATTCCCTCACTAGTGGGACCATTGTTATT